ATGGATGGATGGATGGATGGATGGATGGATGGATGGATGGATGATGGACAGTTAATATTAATTAATCCGTTTCAGTCATTAATTATCAATCAATAATTAATCTGCTTATTAATTGTTTTCTCTTCTCTCTGTTATTGACAGGTCTTCTTATCTATTGATTATTGATCAGTGCTGGTTAGCTGGTTAGTTGGTTAGTTGGTTAGCTGGTTAGTTGGTTAGCTGGGTATAGTTAGTTACTCACAGCGGCTCCAATCTGGTGCCGAGGAGGTTTCCCATAGATGCTCCTCTTCGTCTCCTTCAGGACTCCTTTTGGACCGGTCAAACTTGAAGGTTTTCCCATCATCCTCTGGACCCAGCTTAGCATCGCCATGACGACCCACACCTGATCACACCTGAGGCTGTCTGATTGCTCCTGAGCTCCTGTTTGGTTGGTGTGAACGGCTGGAAGGTTGGAGTCAGACTGAGGGGGAGAGCAGGAGGAGAAGCGGAGGAGGAGCCAGCTGAGTGCTGATTGGACTGACGGACAGCCCCCTGAATGACTGACGGCTCGGAGACGGGAACCAGGAGCTGCTCCTGGGTGGGTGACGGAGAGCAGCTGCTCTGATGGGATCTTCTGAGCAGAACAAAGAGCTGTGATGATCCGGAGGGCAGCAGGTGTTTGATGTTGGCCGTCTGCTCTGCTTCAGAACCACATCACAGACGGACGGATGACAGGAAACACAAAGCAGCCTCTGACTGCATCAGCTCTACCGTCTGCAGGACGCGCAGCAGCATGTTTGGGTCACGGTTCTGGACCAGTCCAGCTCTTCCCTTCTGACCCAGACCCTCAGCAGAACAATCTGATGTTTAGAAGGAAGAACTGAGAGCTGATCCGTTAGATGTTTCTCCATCCATGGTCTCCTCAGGTCACAGTGACCCGGTTCCTGTCTCTGGTCAGTGAGGCCCATTTATTCTAACATTCCTGGTCCTGGACCGCGGCAGGAAGTCCCAACCCCCCGACAGACGGGGTCAGCAGTCACGGTTTCCTCTGAACCGATTCAATAAACATCGTTTGTTTTGTTATTCATTACTGGATCCTCCACCTGCCGGATCCAACTGCTCCAAGGTTCTGTTCCAATGTTGATCCAAACGTCTTTCAGCTCCTGGTTCTGATGCAGAAGGAAGAGAAAAGCGATTAGTAAAGATAAAAAACTCTGACGGTTAAAAACCCAACGTCTAACGGGGAGGTGTCCTCTGCTGGTTCTTGGATCCTTTTGGGGTTCCTGTTGGGTCTGGATGTGTGGATCCAGAGATTCCTGAGGGTTTGGAGGTCTTTGGGTTCTGTGGCGTTCCTTGAAGGAAAAGTCCGCTTATATTCAGGATCAAAACTTCTAAAAGTACTTTAAATGCGAAAATACAGTGGAATC